GCACATAATTTCTCTTTGGCAACTACTTTTACTATAATTTATATTGTGTTTTGCAGTTGTCCAATATGAAGCACGTTGAAACTGCCAGACTCAAAGGTCCAGTGCATATTGATATCGTCAACGATAAGCATTCCTACTGCAGTACTACTGCTACATGTTTTCTGATGTTTAATAAGTTGATGGGAACTGTTATTCTCTAAAATTCTCTTTTTTACCGTGCTGGTTGTTGATCTGGGGCAACATTGTTTTGTGCTCTAAAAACGTAACTACATGGTTGTATTATATTAGTGTTCATATTCGTGGTAACCAACTTGTTTATTTTTATCTTATAAAGTTTTATTACTGGCTCTTGATAGTTTATTTCCATCCTGGAATTTTGATTAGTAAGATGTTGCATTTAAACACACAAAACAAAAGGGACTCTTGAGTAAAGATTTTACGTTTTATTAGATGAGCTGTTTACAAGGCTAAGGCAATTGGTGCATCATATTTGCTGAAAAGTCTACCTGAGGAGATGAGTGTAAGGCCCTGCATAGCATAGTGTAACGATGAATGTTATTGCTATGGCTCTACGCAAGGGGCGGCGTCCCCTTTATATGCAAAGTGCACTACCTCCGTCTCGCATCAGCTGCCAGGATTTTGTAGGCCAGAACCTGCATGAAACAAAACAGAATTTACATATATACTGATAACGGTAAACCATGTCTTGAGCTTAGTAAGTTTGGGGTCGGTTATATGAATCTCTTTATGTGACTAGACCTTGAAAGTGAAGAAATGGAGCCGAAATGGGTAAAATCAGTTTGCGGTATCTGTACTTTCACTTCAATTTTGTTCAATCGACAACTGGAGATTAAAGTGTAATTACGTGGTTGAACAAAATTGATATATGGTTACTTGATTGAGAGTAGGTGTAATGACAGTGAGTGAAATTTATGTGCCGAAATGGTAGTAAAACATATATGAGCAAACCTGGTCGAGAACGAAGAATGTCAAGTCTCAGGACGTGGTTGATGGCTTTGGTACGGCTGCCTCGACGGTGAAGAAAAGGGATTAATCGGCACAAACGCCACTAGCATGCACTAAAAACTAAATATCCGCACATACACCAACCTTTCTATCACCAAATTCACCAAGAAATACTTGGAAGCATCAATATCAAAATAGTGTACAAGGAACCAAATCATTAGTCTGTGATTCCTTGAGCACGATGACTAGCGCCACCACGAACAGAGCCATAGGCAGGATGCGCAGCAGTGTCTCCGCCGTGTGCATGGTGGAACTTCCATTTTCTTCTTCAGTTGGACCCTTTTCAATTTGTGCATTATCTTTCATTCTCTTGCCATCCATTGCAGACAATTCTTCATTTTCTTTTTCTCTCGATGTTTATTAAGGAAGGTGGTGGGGGTATGTGGGTGTTTATGCTACAGACTACTAATTAACGAATGTAATTAAAGTTTGGTGTAAATGAATCAAATGTTCATTAAACGACAGATTGAGAGCTAAGGATAAGTTAATCTACATTCCATTTCGTGTGCTCTTTTCACACTTCGCGTTAATACACGTCGAGTCATGTATATTGTTTGCTCTATTCAACATTTATTTTGGTTGATTAAACCTCTATTCACCATTCTTGGATCCAATGCATTTCACAAAGGTTGACGACAAAAAGTGTAAAATTTCCTATTTTTAAGAAAAAAAACAACAAACATAAAAGTGCAACATAATATTCGCCTTTCATTTTAAAGCACGCTAACAAAGTATTTCGACATGATCATCATGAAAAATTACATTTACAAAATTATGAAATCAACTGGATAAGAAAGATAAAAAAAATGTATTAGACGACAATAAGCAAATAGCTCAATTAAAAAGATTGGCTTAAATATAGCCTATGTTTCTCTCATGCTTATATACGGTTTATATTACGTTTCAAAGAATTCACAATATTACTTACTAATTCATTACTTAATTTTATTTATTTATAATTTAAACAGTTTATAAACGGTTCCAAAACATGCTTATTATTACATGTATGGAAAGAAAAAGTTATCTTTAAACCTGACATTGAAAATAAGAATATGCTATTTGCACATTCAAATTTTACATTAATGTTGACATTGGATGATGTTGAAATCAAAGACGAAAATATGTGACACCTTACCCACAACTGTCAACAATAATATCAGCGTAATGGGACTCTTGAAAATGATGCTTTTTGGTGGGGCAAATTTGGCAGTTCCCTGAATTACAGCCAATCATTTGCAATTTTACCCAATTCGAAGCAATTCCCCTTTCATAAGTAGATCAAAAAAGACAGATTTTTTCTTGAATCTTTGGATATATGAACTTTTCTTGTGCCACAAATCATACAGATAAAGAAAAGAGAGATCAATTATGAGTAAAGAAAAGGGGGACAGTCAACACCACCAACATGAAGATCAACCACCGCAGCCGCCGCAGTATGGAACATTTCAGGGTGTAGCCAATCACCCTCCTCCGGCAGTGATCGGCTTCCCTCAGCCTGTTCCGCCTCCTGGCGCCACCGGAGGTCCTCCACCACCATCTCAGTATTATGCTCATGGTTATCAAGCTGTCCCAGGTATATAACTTTGCATATATCCATGTGTAACCCAGAATCAAGAAAAGATTTTTTTAGTATTTGTGAGTCAACGCCTTAGTTTCTAAGAATTTGTTGATCAAATAATTGCATGAATGGGATGTATATGAAAGGCACATGGGCTTGTTTAGATAGTTGGGGTTCTTAAAATTCACTTTAAAAAAATTTAATCTTTTTAACTCACGCGTATTCAAGAAATTCAACTTACTAGAATACTGGATTTATTAGGAATTATGACTTTGGTTTTCATTTTTGGAATAGGGTTTTATCATATATTTGAACTGATGGATCAAGAGTACCATTTTTTTGGATCTTTCTGGATTTTGAGTTAATCACATTTAACTTTCGGAAACTTCAATTAAAATATGTAGAAATCCTGGACGATTTCATGTCTTGAAGTAGGAAAATGCAACCACTTTTCTCTGAAGCTATAGCTGATATGACTTAGGAGAGGTGCAATCTAGATCATGGATTAGGTTCGGGAATCCACCCCAAGCACTATTCATTTGGTTTTTTACTTCAAAGTATCCCTTACGAAATAGGCAAACCCTGTGATCAGTGATGATATGCATCATGTTTTCTTTCTTCGAATATAGATAATTAGTTTTAGGTTTGTGGAGCAATATTTCCGTAGTAGTCCTGCTTCTACTCTGTGGGGAGTTAATTAATTTTCTATTTCCAATTTCTGTATACTTATTCTTTTGATGTACAACTGATGTTTTGATGCTATTCCAGGTTATGCTATTGCAGAAGGAAGACCTGTAAGGCAGCGTCGCCTACCTTGCTGTGGTATTGGCATTGGCTGGTTCCTGTAATCCATCATTTCATTTTATTTTCTCCTTTTGTATTGATTCATTTGGCTAGCCTATAAGTGCAGACCCATATGGTGCTTGTTTTTTATTTGTTGATCATTATATGGACCTGTGTCGCTTTGGTTCCAGGAGTGGTGTCATGCCTTAGCATTTCCTGAAGGCGGAGCCATTGTATTCCCTTATGAAAATAGAGGAATTTATCATAAGTATGAATTGCTTTTAAAACAAAAGTAATTATTCAGAAAAGCGAAGGCTCTATGCAAATTCAATTTTATTACAAAGTCTATATCCTGAACAAAAATCATAATGTTATAGAATGCTTTTGATTACTGGGATTCTGAGATTCTTACTTCTCAAGTACATATAAAGTCTTTTGAGTCGGGGGCATTTTTTTCTCTTTTTACCCCTCTATCTTCTCTTTACTTATTGTTCTTGCAATACTTCAACTGTAATTTTGTGTTGTAAATTCATATCTCTGAAATTTCATAAACCTGATCTTTATAGGGAATTTTTTTCTTCCATAATGTTAATTAATTCCTCTATGGTTTTATTCTAGACGTTCTTTCTATTTTTGCTAATCTGGTAGGAATCTTTTTGAAGGTTTATTATTGGTTTCTTCCTTGCTGCAATCCCATGGTACGTTGCAGCATTACTTCTATTCTGCTCCAGAATTGATCCTCGCGAGAAACCCGGATACGTTGCAAGCACTATTGCTGTAAGTACTACTTATCTTCTCGATTAAATTTTTCTAATGTCACTCTTGCAATATGTGACTCAATGAATTGACATTCGAAAAAGTTCCTCTATTTACCGGCTTCCATTTCCTTGTGGGAGTCTTTGCTTTGTCATTGAGACATGCTTAGTCCAGAAAATGCACTGCTGTTCATTTCTAGGTTAAACAGTTGCGCTTTTAGCACCAAGGGGGGCAGCTTGAACTAAAATAGTAGCACTATGACTATTGAAATGAACAATTTTCCTAGAACTTGCCGAAGATGTAACAAACTACAAGAATAGAAAAGAAAATTACGAGGGAAAAGTGTTAAGCGGTGGCTTGGTACACTATGGCTCTATTGAACCATATTGTTTGTGAAAATAAGTTTTGTAATAGTAATTTTTTTGGAGAATGTGTGGTTAAAAAGTAGGAAAAAATGTTTTGAGTTTGTGTAAAATTATTTTATTGGAAGAGTGTGATTAAAAATGAATTTGAGAAGAAAATGAGTTTTTAGATAATGGGGTTCAAACAGGGCTATATTAGACCAAACATGGTACTATGGTAGTACAATAAAAAAGATTTTAGCTTCTTTTTCTTTCTTTAATATGTCTTAGAAGCTGATGAAACTTTATTTTTATCCATACATTTTGTAGTAATCACAACTTGTACCCACATATTATTCATACATTTCGTAGGATTCACAACTTTTAAATACTTAAAAGCTCTGCCAAACAAGCGCTAAGATGATTTCGATCTGCTGATGCAATGTTTTAACTGAAAGACACCAAAAGAATTACATTTGCCTTGTCTCCTAAGTGATGCTCTTCTTTGTTCTTATGTATCGACCTGTTGCACTGTTTGTGTGCAGGCCATTCTCGCTACAGTTGCTATTATCTTTGGACTTACAAAGACGGACTGGTGAATCGCCTCCAAAGAGTCATGCAGGCATATGCAGACACAAACATCTCCCAAAAGCTAGCGTGATTTCTGTTTCCGGTGTTGGCATTAAGGCATACCATGTGATTGTAATACTGATTTTTCTAGCTATACATGGAGTACTTAAAATTGTTGAACTCTGCAATATCATTTTCATGTGTATATCATGCTTCAGTTCTCTGTCTACAGTTCGAAAACATTCTCTTGCAAGTGGCTCCTAAGCTTAGTGAAAGGTATCTAATGTTTTATGCGACGTAATGTTCAATTTTACACGACACTTATTTGCTTAGTGAAGGAGTAAGAATAAAAACTTCTGCCAACTTCATATCGGGTTTGATTTCCTGCGTTGTTTATTTGCTTACTTGACATATTTGCTTGTGTGAGAGTATCACGTTTTGTTATGCATGAAGACTTTCGTTTACCATAAGCCTGCCACTGAATTTCCTTCTTGAAACGCAAGGGATATACTAAGCCCCCATTTGGTACAGATTCTTGAAAACTCATATTCTTCGAAATTCATTTTCAATCAAACATTCTTTCAATAAAATAATTTAGCATCTGAATCCATAACTTTTTCCCACTTTTTAATCACACATTCTTTAAATAATCATTATTCATAAAATTTATTCTCAAAATCTACATCATAAAAGCCCTAAATGTGCATTTGTGACTACTTTTCAGTTGTATTGCAATTGACACGTGTGCTAATTGTAGCTAAAATTGTCAAAGAAAAAATCCAAAATTTCAAGACCATATGTGAAATATTTGATATGAAAAGTGAATGATTATAATTTATTTTCTTCTTTAATCATGTTCAATGTGGTGTATAAACGCATTAAAAATTCCTCAGTTGGATGAACAATTTACGAGTAAGCATTGGACTTAATAATAAGAATTCCAACCATGTGACATTGTACTTGCTTAGATCTTTGGAATTTAAAAGCTTGTACAACTTGCATGTTTCAATAATTACAAAGAAATGACTCTATTTACCGGTTAAAGTATCTATAAAAGAAAAGAATGCGTCACAATAATATTATCACGGGAGTAATCACGTAGGATGTGAAGAAGTTCACATGATTTCGATTGAATAGAGAAAGGGGATGTTGATTATTCATTTTTTGTGAAAATATATTTGAATTATATACACTTTCTCCTCTGCTGTTACCATATCATGTAATAGATTGCAATGAAAATTAATAGTCTTTTTCATGATCTTTATCTGATCACTAACAATTTAAAAAATGGAAGATTCTCAGAATCAGTAATTCAACTACAATAATGGAAGATCAAAGCATTATGGAGGACATTAAACTTTCAAGGATTTGTGGGGAAACCTGCAATATGTTATCTGTCACGGTACAATACATGTAATAAAACAAATAAAAAAATTATTGTTCTCCTTGAAAAAGAATATAATCATGAACATGAGCTGTCTTTTGCTCCTTTGATTCCTTTTTTTCCGTTCGTTTTTCTTGTCCCATTTCTGTTCTTGATTCAAATGTAACGATACGCGTGCAATCTGATGCCCCTTTTGTGGAAGGAAAAATATGTCACAATGCTTTCCTGTATGTTATGCAAAATGGAGCATATGATAGAAACCAAATGCATTAGCTAAGTCAAAAATTGAAGGGCACCATCCATTGATATAGAAGCTTTAGCTCCTATTCCTTTGTGATTGGTTAATATTGAATGTTTCTTCCGATTTCAGATCTAGTCACCGCCTGAGTTTGAATTTTCGGGTTTCTTCATCAATAAAATTCTCAACCTCGCAGTGTCTTTCCAAAAAGAAAGTCACCTTCAAACTTCAAGAAACAAACAGTGCATTTTCATGCTTTACTTGACTTACATTGTGACAAGATTTTCTTTGTGTGCGTATGTATATTTTACTCTAGTGTGTGTTTGCGTGTGCGTGTATTAATTGAGTAGGACAACTTAAGAGTAGTCTGCATTGACGCTCTGTACCACGAAAGCTTGATGTAGATTTGTGTAAAAGTCGATGGATTATATATTAAGTCTCTGTTTGTTCCAACTTCTTTCCCCATTAATAGAAAAAATAGGACCCTTTTTTTCAAAGTTGGTGGGTCCCAACAAGAAAGAAATAGTCAACAATGGTAAGCAGGACTACTGTTCCAACTGTTCTTTTTCTTCTACTAATAAGCAACAAACAGGGGCTAATTATTGTCTTTGTACTAATCATGTAACTTGCCTCACAACCAGCAGATTTATGGTGAACTAATCCCTCTTGTAATACTGTATATGTAGAAAATCGACCCAAACATGTCTCTAAGTCAACTAGTTAAGCCTTCAGTGAACTGTATTATCACTAACTCACTGCAATTCCCTCTCGCAGGCATAGCCATAAAGTTCATACACATGCAAATGCAAAAACAGCTTGAGTTTATAATCTATCAGATAATCATAATCAGCCTAAAAAATAAGCAATTAAATCAAGTTCTGATCGGAATATCAGACTTCTATATCACTTTGCATTCATTAACTTAAAAGATTTACAAATAGGTTTAAGAATTTTTGTTGCATTATATGGTTTATCACTATGCGCCGTTTCCTTGCATTTATCTTGAGAGATTACAATAAATATGCATGGATTTAATCACAGAATCAATATAATTCTTAACAAAATTCTATCAGTTTGTTCCCTTAAAATGTACTTGTTTTCAAGGACAAAGTTCGGAACTTATTAGATACGTGAATCAAATACTTTTTCCTATTATATTGCTAGCATTTTTCCTTGGACAGACGAAAAAATAACAAACAATAACATTCGACTTGAATCTGCTTGATTTGTAAATTTGAAACTTTCCTCTTAATTAACAAATATAAACAATATGTTCTCCGTGTTTGAGCCACATTATTTTGGAAGAATATATTTTGGAATAGTAGATTGATGGAGAATGTGTGGTTGAAAAATAAGGAAAAGTTACTGATGTGATGAAAAATATTATTTTATTAAAAAATGTGTGGTTGAAAATGAGTTTTGAAAGAATATATTTTGAGGCTTCCTGATTTTGATCCAAAACCCAATTGGATCGACTTTGGACTAGGCATAGTGTGGTTGAAAAATAAGGAAAAGTTACTGATGTGATGAAAAATATTATTTTATTGAAAAATGTGTGGTTAAAAATTAGTAGAAGAATGAGAATGAAAATTTTAATGTGGCTCAAACAGGGGTTATATATATTTCTTCCTCAATTTTCCAGCTAGAAACTTAGCTAAAGGACATCTCTCTTTAGGGTTTCATTAAAATTTTGGTTCTTTCTCCTTAAATATGCATGTTTGATTAAAGAACTCCAATTTACTAATCAAGTGGTCCATATGGGAACATGATTCCCAGAATGACAAAATAGGTCCACATATAATTGTTAAAAACTCAACTGCTACTTGGTTAATGTTAAGGGATATAATCTCACATCGAATAAATATGTAAACATAGACCAATTTATAAAGGAGTGTGCTACCCCTCTTATTAAGGTTGGCCTTTTAAGATGGAACCTCAATTCTTAACATGGTATCAAAGCCCATTAAACTCTAACAAGCAATTCAATCCGGTTAAAACTCCAAAAGTGAGCATACAGATTTTAAGATTTGTCTGCTCAAACGAACCACCATCTTGAGGGAGCATGTTACGAGATATAATCTCACATTGAATAAAGATGTAAACATAGACCAATTTATAAAGGATTTGGCTACTCCTCTTAATAAGGTTGGTCTTTTAAGATGGAACCCAAATTCTTAATAGTTAAAACTACCCTCAGAAGATGCCATTATCAATGTTATAAATTGATCTCTAGCTAGTCTCCACCTCCTTGTGCCTGTTTATCAGTGACAACAACTCTTCTCTCTAGAAAGAAAGTATGAATATTGCAATGTTAATCTTTCTCTTCCTGATTTCAATATCTCTGAAATTGGCATGGAGAATAGGGAATTGGTTATGGTTTAGACCAAGAAAGATAGAAAAATACCTTAGGGCGCAAGGCTTCAGTGGAAATCCTTACCGTCTGATTTATGGGGACAGCAAGGAGATGGAAGCCATGTTCAAACAAGCAAATTCTAAACCCATCAAGCTATCGGATGATATCATTCCTCGCGCCCTCCCATTCCACCATCACATTATCAACAAGTATGGTACGTTACTTTCTTGGTTCGCCTATGTTAAGCTTAAAATTAAGTAAGTATACATTATTTTATTTTTCTCTTACATGTTACTAAAAATAAATAAATTTATTTTAATAGTATAGTATGAGTTACTTTTGAATAAGTAACTTGCACTAAAGTTGTTATGTTAATTTGACTCTACGCGCATCTAGTACAAGGGTTTGGAGTGAAAACGCTAATCGTGAAATAATAGAAATTCTCATAAATTAATGTACCAAATTTCACAACTGTGATCAACGTTAATAATTGTGATTCAATTTTTTCAATCATATAATTTTAATTCGAATTTTTAAATGAATGGATCATGTTTGGAGTGATTTACCTTAAAGATAAGTAACAAATGTATTGACTTTTTTTCCCCTAATATCAACATACTTGTATTAAAAATAAGTTAACATAACCTACACATTTGAAACTTATTTTTAGGCCCTGTTTGAGCCACCTTATTATAGAATGAGAATGAAAAATATAGTCGTTATTGGGGCCACACAAGAGATAGAAAATTTAAATTTAAATGTTGATGTGATAGATAACGGTTATATTTTTCATTTTAATGAAATAAAAATGTGGCCCAAACGGGGGTTTAAGATAAGTTATCCCAAACATGCCAATGACCGGTCATTGTTCTCCACTATATGGCCTTGTTTGAGCCATCCTTTTGTAGAATGAGAATAAAAAATATAATCGTTATTGGGACCCACACAATAGATAGAAAATTTGAATTTAAATGTTGATGTGATTGATAACGATCATATTTTTCATTTTAATGAGAAAATAAAATGGCCCAAACAGGAGCTATATATGCTTATG